GCTGTACACTCGGGGAATATGAATCCATCAGTTGGGAAATATATACAAAATACTTGCTAAAACTACCATAAAGTATTTCTGTTGATCTAGAACACAAGTGCAGTAATCCAGATTGCTGTAAATATTGTTTACACGGTTACATTAAAATCATCAAATTCAAATATTCAAATAAAACCACCTAAATAACTTAACTTAAATCTAGGGATGAATGTTTTAAAAACACACTAATGCAGTCTTGAGCTACGGGCAATACTGAAACAGGATTTTACTCCACAGTATTTCTCCTCTTTATCTTTCTATTGTGGAGTTTGCGTGTTCTCCGTGTGCCTGCATGGGTTCTCTGCAGGTGCTCCAGCTTCCTCCCACAGCCCAAAGACATGCATGTTAGACGCTTGTTCTAAACTACTGACTGTGGGTGTGAATATGTAAGTGAATGAAGTCTTTCTCTCTGTGTGAGGCCTGTGATAGACTGTCCAAGGTGTACTCTACCTTTCTCCCTATGACAGCCGGAATAGTCTCCAGCTCTCCAGCTCTCCTGTGATAAGCATTGTATTGGATAAGCAGTGAAAAAAAGTAACGAATGGATGCAAAGTCCCTAAATCCTTTATAAAGTATTTGTTACATCTATACACAAACATGTTTATTACCTGCCTTAATATGATCCACACTGTGGCCAGCTTCGGTAACATAAAACTCCTCTTTGTGAACATAAGCGTGTGCATGGACAGTAGTGTATTCTCTCATCCATGTTCATTAATGTGTGTCTATGTGTTATACGCTGTGTTATTTCAGGAAAGGGAGGAGGGACATTACTAGAACAGGGAGTGGTTGTACTTGCAAAGTAACCCCTCGCTGATCAGAATGCGACTTACTGTTGCTTTCTGTCACACTGATTAATGTCCACATGAACGCTGACCCTGATGTCACTTGTTAAAGGGCTCTTAATAAGGAGGTGATCTGGGGAAACTGGGTAATGAAGTGTGGACCAGAGCATGGTAAATGGCTAAAGTGGAGCATGACATCATCGCAGTGATATCAGGGTGACGCACATCACAAAGCTTCATTAAAATTCCCCTCATTCCAAAGCTTTTCTCATGAGTGAAAACAGCTCTGGAGCTTGGTGCTGCATGCTGGGACAGGCTCCGTGGAGTCTACATGGCAGCACTAAAAGCTGGAAAACAGCACTATTCGGTAATGGCCAGTTAATAAACACATTTAGTAATCGCTGAGTAGACCTATGTCTGTTTCAGACATCGGTTCCACTTCAGCTGAAAGGCAAATGTTGCACATCTACTTTTTGTCCTTTGGATAGAAATAGATGCTGATTATTGTATTATTGTAGCTGTGAATATTTATATTTGGACTTATATTCACCATATTTGTCATTCTAATAGTTTACTAATGCTGAAGATACAGTGGTAGCGATGCCTGTTTTCTTTGTTAGTGTGAATAAAATTCTACCTTTTAATGAAGTCCTGAAAATGTACTACTAATACTATTATTATTATTATTATTATTATTATTATTGTAGTTAATAATTGTGAATATTTACTGGTGACCTGGTGCTCTAAACTAAAGGGATAAACTGGCATAGATATATTGAACAACCATAATGCTCTTTATGTGGTTCAGGATTGTCATAAACATGACATCATGCGATAAACCTAGTGCGCTGTGGTCTATAGCTCCCCCCAGTGTGCGGAAATAATACTTCAGAAAGAAGCCCAAATGATTTGCAGTATATGGAGGAAGCACATGCCCTGTGTTTGTGTAGACAATAAAAAGCTGTATGGGTTTTAAAAGGATAATAATTATAATGCTAATAACATTAAAACATGTTTTTGTTTACTTGTTTGTTTGTTTTAAACTAAGTGTGTTGGTGGCTGTTAACAGCTGTCAGCGCTGTGCTGCATGTATAAGTTATTGTTATATGCTGCCATCTAGTGGTACAGAGTAAATATGTGATAAGTCTTCTTTCTTTTTCTTTTTCTTTTTGCCATTTCAGTGATATATTTACCTAAATTCTAATGTTAGACGTAAACTATTTTGGATGCAGCTTCTTTAAAGGTTGTGGTGGGTGGCTATAATCATTTTGTACTTATCCCTATAGTTTAAAACTATACTATAATATAGTATTTTATTTTCATCTGGGCCACCCTCACTTACAGACTGAATTAATGAAAAAGCACTAACTATTAAAGGCTGGCAAAGAGTAGTGTTGGATCTCGTGCCATTGGAATATCTTACAAGGTGTGGAAACCATACTTAAAGTATGTGGATCCTCATGTCTCTAATATTATGCTACAAGGATTCTCTTGAGTGTTCAAACTGCATTTTACTACTGGGACCACAGGTACTGTATTGTATTTCTTTTTTTAGATGGATCTGGGCTGGTGTTTTGTTTTGTGTTTAGTTTTTTGTTTGTTTGTTTGTTTGTTTGTTTGTTTGTTTGTTTTATTTTTTATTGCTCTCAACTGTACACTATATTATGTTATGTAATTATGGATTGTTTGTGAAAATGAAAAAACTAAAAAAAAATATTGTATTCATAATAATAATAATAATAATAATAATAATAATAATAATAATAAGGTAATACTAGAACTAATAATGCTTAAAAATAAAATGAAATATACAGCTTTAAAGGAAATCATTTGTTCAGTCATTTTTGTCAACACAAAGTGCATCTGTTGGGCTGTCACCATGATACTGGATTAATTGTTTGATCTGTCTATTTGTTGATGAATTATGCCACATAATCTATATAAGAAAACCTACTGGAAATTTAGTGACACTAAACAGAACTGAGAAAATTAAGTGTGGCACTGAACTCTTCCACACCCAAATCTGAACCACTCATCCCAAAACTGTATGGCCACTTCATTCCAACCATGAGACAAAATTACGTTGGAAAAAAGCATTATCCTCCTCAGTGCTGCACTGTAAATATAACTGATGTTAAATACTATAATAACGTGCACTGAAAGCTCTTATGCTAATTATAGCATGGACTCTCCTACATTTGCCTCACAGTGGTTTGGTCCATTGCCAGTCATTCACCAGAGCCCTTGAGCAGAAAGGGAAGGGAATTAGATAGAAATAGTTCCTGTAGGTGCTCAGCAGGAAATTCAGGAAATGAACAGAGTTGTGATTTATTTGTAACTCTTAGTAGTAAATAAATCCACAGTGATATTCACATTTAATTACATCTATTTACGTGTAAACTATTTGAAAATAAGTAAGAACAACTAGTCTCACTTGACCTCTTAATGTGTGTTACCATGGATTAAAGCATGGTGCTGGGGCTTTTTTTTGGTGGGGGTGGGGGGGAGGGGGTATCGTGTTTTTGGTGATCAATAGCTGTCACACAATGACAGGAAAGGATTGTGGGAACAACAACCCTCCTCACCCACCAAGATATTTTAGTCCCATCCACAGTTTGGCAGGCCAACGGGATTCTGGCCCCTCGTGCATGTCGTGCTCTGATTTATGCTGATGAACTTTGGTAGGAGTCACAGCGTCCCTTTGTGTAAATATAACTGCTATAAATGTTCATTTGTCCTTCTGTCAGTTGAACAGCAAGAGGAGTAGAGAAGTTTTTAAGAAGGTAACTGGTTTTTAAGTCCTTATTATTGCTTAATTTATTTTAAGATAGATATTTCCTGAAAGTGTGCTCATTTCTCCTGTGGGAAACAATGAAATCATCTTATTTATCTTATCTTATCCATTATTGATATATTGTGATGGATACTAATAATTTATTTCAAGACTGATTCATTTCTGCCTACCCGTTTTTTGCCCATTGTGCTTTAACTAATCCAGTGACTCAGATATACAGAAGGTGGCATAGAGGTGACTGTCAGTGATTGTGAACTGACTGGATAATAAATTCAGTACATTAACGTGATGATAAGTGTGTTAGAGAATATATTCTATACTGTGAATAATAATATAAACATGAAATATTTCAATTTAAAACAACTCTAATATCAGTGATTTGCAGGCGAAAGACATTCATTGGCTGACATGCAGAGATATGTGCTATTATAACTCATCACATCTACTACAGGTAGCATTAAAACACAATAGGAATGTCAACAGCGATGTTCCTAACCCCCCAAAATAATGCCTATGTATATAATTTATATTTTTGGTTTTTTTGGAGAGTTATATGTTTATGTAGGTACTATTTGTTTTTTCACGCTGCACTCAGTCATCACAAAAAATGCATTAAGTAAATCTCAGATAACTGAGAAAAATGAATGATATGTGTTCTTTCTCCCATTGTTGTCCTCTTATAGTCTCCACCCTTGTTTACAGAGCTGCGTGGGGATGATCTGCTCACTCAGAGATATGAGTGTGTATGTACAGACACAGAGGGGGAAAATATAGTTTGCATAAAGCATTTGACCTTAACTTTCATTGTTACTGCCAAAAATCAAAGTAGACCTTGAAAAAAAAAAATCATGAAATCATATCTAGTAATATATCATATGACAGAGAAACTGTATAACACAGCTTTTATTTTTTCACCAAAACAGGCTGATGTCAGCAGGCTGTACTAAAAAAACATCATAAAACATCAAAGTTTTAGTATAGCCCTTGCTCTTAAGTGGGAGTTATGCTCTCTGAGTGCTCTTGTTGATACAGTCCTCCATGTATTCTCCCACTGTACATTATTAAACAAGGAAGTCCAGAGGTGTTCAGAAGGAAAGATCCTAAGTTATCTAATTGGATTCTTATTATGTATTTTTTTTTTCAACATTTCGTTTTCAACACATAGCTGAAAAATTGAACATCAGAGTTTCATAACATTATAAGAACACCTTTTTGGGATATCATCAATCTTCCGTAGAAAGTAATTACAGGCTCCTGGTCTAACGTAAAATCTGGCACTCGACAGTGACCAGAGAGGAAAGCGGGGAAATCGGGAATGGGAAGTCCAGTCCGCAGTTTGCGGCTCTCTCAGCGGTTCTCGGGTTTCAGCTCGGCGCGTGCTCTACGCCTCCTGCTTTGTGTTGTCAGGCAGAGAAAGACGCGCCATTCAGGGTGGCGTGTGTCCTCGTGCACGGTCGCAGAGTCGGCGCGGAGGACTGAATCACATCTAGTTAATTTACTCTCTCCTCTTAAATAGTCGACTAATATTTATAATTTCGTTACCATGTCGGTGGGAGTGGAGTCTGGATTCTCAAGCGAGGAGGTCTTAAACAGCCGCTTCCCTCTCCATCGGGCTTGCAGGGATGGAGACGTCGGTGCCTTGTGCTCCCTCCTTCAGTGCACATCAAACCCGGCCGACCTCACGGTGGAGGACACTTTCTACGGCTGGACGCCCATACATTGGGCTGCTCACTTCGGAAAGGTATCGCTTCTGTCCGCCCGGGTTTTAGTTAATGGATTTTTTTTTTTTGGCGAAATGCTATCCAGAAGGAGCGTCGTCGCTCTTCGACATCATGAGGCTCGTCTCGGCCATTTCCTGATGTTTCCATTAACTGTTAGCTGATGAGACGAAGAAGCAGCCGTCCCTGAGTGTAGGCAGACAATGGACCGTTGAAGTTAAAGCGATACTTTTTAAAGCTAGTTTTCAATGAATTGTATTAGTATGCGCAAAATTGTAGGTACGTTTTTACCTAGTGTTGAACAGGAACCTTATTAATATTAACTAATGGCTTTAGGCGATAGGTTTAACACGAAATTCTAGCATTACAAGAGCCACAAATGTTAGCTAACGAGCAGTTAGTTAAATTGGATGTAGCCTCGCGGACTGTAGCAGGTTTGCGGCTAAAAAGGGCGGTTATTCAAACTGCTTTCAAGCCAACTCCCGGCGCTAATGACTCATTTTTAATGAAGCGTTTGAGTATAAAAAATACTCGCGGTAAGACTTGTTTAACAAACTGCACATTAGAAAAGGATAGGCCTCACGTTTGTACAGAGACTGGATTCATACCCCGAGGCAAAGCTTTGATAATTGTGCCTCGAAAACCCAGTCAGCCCACATAGGAGCGCTTCATTTTTGCCCTTTTTCGGCTGCTGTAACACACTTGTCTGTACCTGCCCTGTCTCAGAATGCAGGTAATGGGCCTGTCTGACTGTATGTGCATTGCACTTGTGTCTTCACAGCTCGATTGTGTGATGCGTCTGGTTCAGGTGGGCTGTGGTGTGAACGCGGTAACCTCCAGGTTTGCACAGACGCCCACTCACATTGCTGCTTTTGGGGGCCACCCTGAGTGTTTGTTATGGTTGCTTCAAGCTGGTGCAGATATTAACAAACAGGTACGATATCAGACCCACTCTCATCCTTTTTCACAGAGTTTCCTGAAGTGACATGTAGACTGCATTTGTTACAAAGTGGGACAAGAGGAAAACATAATTTAAAAAAAAAAAAGGGACAATGGTTTTTATGTGAAATGAAAAGGAAGCAGGGGGGAGGGCGAGTGAAAGGAGCGTGAGGGGTTGAGCTCAGATAATCCCATTGAAGAGGATAATTCTAATTTGGGGTCACGGCCCTGGCAGTGTTGCTGCTCACTCCTCCATTTGTCCCACCAATGCCCTCATATTCCATTTTATTTATTTATTTCTTCACCATATTTCCCGAAGCAGCCACTGTCAGACTGTTGAGTGCCTCACTCATCCCGTCTTTTCCTCTCCGTGGGATTTCATACACAGACAGGCTCATGCGCTGAGGCTATATTTTATGCTCCACTGCACTACTGAGAGGAATCAGATTAGTGGGGCACAGTGACATAACATATTGTCGTAATCAGGAACCACATTGCTTTGCAACTCCCATTGAATCTGCTTAGCGTCTGTGGAAATAAACACAAGGGAAAGTTCTCAGATTTGCGGACCTTTTCCTCTTGAGTGTGTAGCCTTTTAACTTTCCTGGGATTGGGCAGTAGGAAAGTGTGATATTTGAGTGCAGCCTACGTTGCATTGTGGTTGGAGAAAGCTGCCTCACTTTCCCCCCTCTCTCTCTCCTCTTTCCTCTGCTGCACTCTTACTAATGTGCAACTGTAAATGTGTGTGGGCGGCAGTAATGTCTGGGTGAAAAGTTCAGACTCTGCCCTGCAGCGTTACACCCTTTTATAATATCCAGTATGTGCTTAGGATGCAGTAATATGTGATACATTTGATAAATACTTAATTGGTAATGTCTGTCTGATACATTCTATATATAACTGCGGTCTCTTGTCATCACTCAGGACTATGTGGGCGAGACGCCCATCCACAAGGCTGCTCGCGCGGGCAGCCTGGAGTGTATCAACACTCTCTTGATTCAGGGAGCGAAAGCTGAGTAAGTCCTGTGATCAGTCCTGTGTCATCATTTCTTTTCCTCTGTACTATCCAGCAACTTAGTTACACCTTTACAAGGGATCGCCACCAAACTCACATCAGTACAGTTGTTAAGTCTAAATGTTTTATTCAGTTTCTTCAAAGTTGCAAATATGTGATCTGCAAAATTAACAGTGCAGGTCTTAAACATAAATTTGTAGAAGGTGCAGAATGTAATTACTAAGATTAAAATTTTTGATATTATATTATATTAGCTCCAGCCAAAAGGAATGCTGCTCTAGAAGCGGTTACTTTACTTTAAATCAGTTCAGGTTGTGTCTGTATATAACTTTAAACAAGATTTGAGCAAAGGACTGAATTAGTCATTTAGCTCAACAAAATAAAATCATCTTTGTTTTATTGTTCATGGGTTCATTAAAAATGTACACCAGACAACGGTGTAGACAATTACATCCTTGAAAATGTTTTTAGAAGTTCTAGAGATGCATTTTGTGAAACGGTAATAATATAGCAAAGTTAGCTTGCTTGACATGTTAAACATTAACAGAATTGGTGGCGCTTCCTTGAAAATGTGACACATTTTGTTAATCCTTAAAAATTGTTGTTTTTCATTGCAACAATTCGCATTAAGTTGCTCTCTATGTGTAACATTATCAGATAAGACATATTCCACAAGTGCCTGCTTGTGTACTTGAATAAGCAGACGTTTATTACCTTTATAGTCTGCTACACTTTATGTGTGTTACAGTAAAAGTTGATTATTAACTCTGCACGGCGTCTTTCATCTAGATGGCTGACTTTTTCAATCCAGCACGATTATTACACAAACATGAGGGCAACTTAATGTAAAGGTTGATAAACTGTTTAATTAGTAGGCCATGTTGCATGATCTCTGTTAAATCTAGAGTGTGGTTTTCTTTGTTAACATTTGTTTTAAAGATTTGTGTCTTAAATACACAGCTTAACTGGGTGACCAAATGCACATTGCTTTTTTATCTGAATACCTCTTTACTGTCATTGTGGAAAGGCTGTAAGGTGTTGCATTGAATGAAAATGCATTGATTAGGTGACCGTGTTTGGAAATGCAAAATCTTTTTTTTTCTTTTTTAAGTTTTTGCAAGATTGTTTTGGCTGCTTTCATGTCCACCTTTTTCAAAGATCATTAAAATTAACAATAATATCTGCATTGAGCAGATAACAGAGTTAGATATAATAGATCTTGCACGATAAATTTAACTTATTATTTTAGGAGGTAGACATAATCTCCTCTTGTAGTAATGATCAGTCACACCTTTACAGTTGTTTTGCCAACATACCCATTTATAGAAAACATTGTTATCACTGATGTTCGATCTGACACATGAACAAAGAAGTGAGGCAAGACTCACTTTTCCTGTTTGTTAAATTTAGCTTCAAGACCAGCAGGACTTGAAATAACAACAGCTATATCGTTACATCATAGCTGTTACTTTCCTAAAGGTCATGTGAATAAGCCTAATGAATTAGGCACCCAGTTTACATACTCACAGCTTACCTGTGTTATCCAGCTGTAAAACAAACAAAACAAAAAAAAGCCTTGAGTTGCTTCTCACTAAAGTAGGTTACCGGGTTTGTAAGTAGCTTTTTAATGCACAAAGAAATTAAAAGTTGCAGCTTACTTTAGTCTTAGGAGTTTAGGTGTTAGACTCAACATGTTTTATTTGTTTTTGTTTTTCAATTATGAAGTCTTGCAGCTTCATTTTCTGCAACATACTGCCTGCCTTTTCTTTGTGATCCCATTAGAGAACAGAAACCCCAAGCTACCAAGGAGTTTATATGTATGTTAATTTTTTTGTAGTCTAATAAATCTTTGTTCACCAAAAGCTCTCTGTAAAGAATTACCTTCTTTACAGAGAGCTTTTTCCCACCATGAAGCAGTAAAAGTGAGCTTTAGGTATAACCATGACAATACTGAACATAATCTGAGAGCAGTGCTGACTTTGGGCCTTGTTTCAGTAAAGGAATGCAAACAGTGCTCACACGCCTTTTCAAAAGGTTTTAGAGACACACACACCATGCATAATCTGTTCCGCATAGTTTCACAGAGTGCGCGTCCCAGAGTCATAAAAAACACTCGATGGAAATTAAAAACACTTCATTTTCTCCTTGTATAAACACCCTGGTTGCTACGGTTGCCTTGGCAAATTAAATCCACTGCTTTCATGCAGAGAAGCTCAGCAGTGGTTCACGCAGTGTGCATTTGGTTATCAGCTGATGAGTATTATATTTTTTGATGAAAATGATATGTGATTTTTTTTGTTTTGTTTTGTTTTTCTCCCTGCAGATCACAGATATTTAGTTTAGTTTATTATCAAGTTTGTTTGTTTTTCATTTATTTAACTTATGACTCAGAAATGTAGCGGGGGCGCAGCTGGGGGGAAGACTAAGGCACAGCAGGTGGGACTGGGGCTCATGACAAAATAACAAATTTCAGCATCAAAGGGCTTTCAAACATCTGCTAAAAAAAATATTCCAATGCTAACAAAGGTTGACAAAGAAAATAGTCTGCTGTCATGTGCAGTAAATATTTGGTGGCAAGGCAGCAAATGAACCTTGACGTGATAATTATTCAGGCAATCAGTCGTTGGTAGCACTCATGGTGCATTATATCTGATGCATAAGAGAGAAAATATTTTGCTGGGAAAAGATTTTTGTTTATGCAGTTTATACTATAATAATACAACTCTGCAATACATAGTAGTCTACATCATATACTACTATATGAACTAAGTTGTGTTCTTATGCTTTTAGTTTTTATACCCTAATTTTTAGTTGTAATGTTTAATTCAAAATATGTGTAATATACAAAGTCTAAAATACTGTGTTGATAATCTTCTAATTTGAATCTGTTAGTCAGGACAAATAGCTCTAAATCCACTCATTTAGAGCTTTGGTAATTTTTTTATTATAAATGCTGTTATAGAAGTCAAAGTTTCTGCATTTTCTTTTTGGAAGTTAGCTTGAACATTGAGTCTACTCTTTGAGATCTATTACTTGAACATCCATCTCCATGTCACATTTCTTTCATGTCAGATTAAAGCTCCGTGATAGGCATCTAAACACTTCCTTTGCCCTCCGGTCCACTCACTGCATTATGGGAGCGAAGCTTCAATAACAAGCACATTTTTACTGTGGAGTGTTTTGTACAGGATCTAAGGCAGTAAAATGGATTTAGTGGATTATGAATGGTTTATTCTTAATGGAAGCTCACATCAACATTACCATGGTTATAAAAGAAAAGCAATGCCTCCAAATATTTTCACAGAAGCCTTTGAGAGTACCTTTTTACAGCAAAGCTGCTAAATTATATTTCACGCAAACAGGATGTCCTTGTCACATTGATTATATGAACAGTGAATGAATGAATGAGTTTTATTCAGTCGCTTAAATCTACATTTTTCATTGAGGATTTTCCTCAGTGGGCTGTTCATCTTCTTGGCTTTGTTTTATGCTTGCTTTGTATTACATCCTCTTGAACACACTTGTCATCTGAGATTTCCTTTTCAACGGGGAGAAGTAATTCATAAGTGATAAAACTGTAAGCTTTGACTATATGTCAGAGCATTTTGCAGCTTTGACTGTTTCTGCTTATCTTCACATTTTCCATGTGGAAGAAAGAAGAGACACAAGAAGAGTGTGATGTACTCATTTGATTCATTAGAAGGAAGTGCTCTTGAAAGCCTTGAATTATGTATGAAATACTTTCATTCCTTTGGCCGTCACCTACAGATGCTTTTATGCACCTTTCTTTTTTTTTTTTAATGAGTGGGAACAACATTAAGTCCACCTAAACCTGAGGTTTGTGTTATTTTACTCAGTGGTGTCATCATGGTTGGATACAACTTGGGTCCTTCTTGAAGCATGCCTTGACGCTCAGCAGGCATTTTGGCAACACCTCTGTGCAAGCGTTTCTGCTTTAGTCTAAAAGATTGGGTTGACAGTCATAACTTACATAATTCCTTACTGGAACATAAAAACGATTAAATAAAACTCTTCAAAACTTTCCCCAGTGTCACAGTTCATCATGGTTTTATTTGTAGCTCTGTCCCGAGTGCTGACAGGATCAACATCTTTGGCTGTTTGCGCCAAGTCACTTGAACGAATGCCATCTTAAATCCTATTATAAATACACTACCAAGAAAAATGATAAGGACATCTATAAAGTACTCGTAGAATCACTCATAAAGTAGATATATGGTAACTAAATAAATCGGACCCAGCTTTATAAATATGAGCTTTACTTTTTGAAATCCAGTATTTAATTAGAATCATAAAACCAATGCTCTGATTTTGCTCTAGAACGCTAAAATAAACTTAGCACTAAAACTATATAGACTTTTTGGGGGGTAGATTTCTAAGAAATTCTTTTTTGTCATGAGCCTCAAACTGTAAAGGTGGTCCAGTAGCAAACTAGCAGCAGGTAGGCCAGTGCTTAGAGGCTGCCGGTGATGAGCATAGTGCAGGCATGCTTAGAGCAGCTGAGTGAGATGGGTTAGATTTGCATAACATCATGTACTGAACTGTCTAATGCTAACATCATCCTGTTGCAATGGTTATTCACTGTCATTTCACTGTACCAAATATTTTACGTTATACACAGAAATGTTTTCTTTTGTATGTCACAGTATTAACCCTATACAATATCATAGTCTGTTTTGACTTCTAATCTTTGTCACCTTTTCCTTCATGAAAGTGACAATAAGTTTACAAAAAAAGTTTTCTATACTGTTAACAGAAACAGAACCGTACATCTTAATGTTTTGCAGCCATTGAATTGGAAATGACTTGGTTTTTTCAAGTAATCCTAGAAAGGGGGAGAATAGACACTGCTGAGTCTGCCCCGTTCCCTGGGATAGCCGCACTGTTGTGGCATTGAGTGTTCTCACTATCGCTTCCTATCTACACACTGGCAAACTGTTGAGGTATTTCTTGCGGTGATTGGTTTTAATGCTAGGTTTTTTAATAAATCAAAACTAAAGTTTTAGACCTGCATGCTTTGCTTATTATCCATGATTGTTCCTGTATTTAGCCTCTTTTTTTTAATTTTATGATTTGTCTTTATTTTGTGAACTAACCATAGGAGTCCTTTAAATGGACAGGGTTAATCACGTGAGTCCCATGTCAACATGTAGCATGATAATAGGCTGCCTCTGGAAGGTTAGACAATAGTTAGAGAAGATGCATATTGTGTGCTTAGGACCGAAAAGCAAAGCATACCAGGCATTTACAAAGAATTAACGCTTCCTTTTTTTAAGTTGTTTTTTTGTTTTTTTGTTGTTGTTTTGTTTTGTTTTTTCTTTTAAGCTATACACAGCTATCCATTTTGTTGGATTAGTGATTACCATAGATGTCAGGTCTCACTAAAGGAATAATGGTTTAAATAATTAAGGAAATAGAAAAGGGGCATATTGTTTCAGTTATGTGGAGGGCGATGTTCAAGCTGAGATTTGGTTTGGAAACAAGTCAATGCTGGAAATGAAGCCAGAGGGTCAAATAAAGAAATGAGAGAATTAATTTGCAGCAGACTTTATCTGAAAACTTGAAATTTGCACTTATAGTCAGGCATTTAAAATGCCTGGCACTCATGAGTGTCTAATGTTTAGCTTCCTCCTTAAGAGATCCACAACATATACAGACACATAAAAAAATCACTGCACCTATAACCTCCTCCCCATCTTTGACCAACCCCACAGAAGAGCTGCAGTAATCTGCGAGTGTCTCTGCAATCACTCATTTGACATTGGATATAAGATTTCAAAACGAGGAGCAACTTTAATATCTTAAGTGCTTGAAAAGGGAAATCTCATTTGGGGATTGTTGAGGTGCAATTTCACCCTTGTCCAAAAAAAGGCTTAACCACTGAGTTCCTCTAGACAAGAATTAGGGCAAATACTTGTTGTGCCATTATCATACAATAAGTGGACATTAATGATTAAGATTAGAAGATGTTAGATTTTTATCACAGTAACAGTATGTTATTCTGTGTCTATCTGGTCCACTGTTTACTTAGGGAACTGTTTGTGTTCAAAGAGAGACACATTTTAACATTAAATTCTTATTTAGTATTATACATGAGAATTTCTATTCCTTAGAGTGAGACTGATCCATCTACCATTTAACATGTAAATGATATTCAGTTAAAATGTAACCTCTTGGATTAATCCTTTGGAAGCGTTAATTTTGAAGGGGACGGGTAATGTGCAACAAGTTTATTGTGTGATTTTTACTTGTTTGGTTTTTTTATTTTATATTTTTTTAAATCTTCAATTCTTTATAAAATGTTTTTTCACATGCACTAGTTCTTGAAATGTTTATTTCTGCACAACTGTTTAGATAAAAATGCAGAGAACGAGCAGTTTCTACACCTCACGAATGACCAAACAGCAGCTGTGTGCTTTAAATCCTGCCTCTTTGTGTGGAAGTTAATATCACCTGGTTTTTAATTTAACACTATAAACGCAAAGTTCAATGAAACAAAATGTATTCCTAAAATTTCGGTAAATCATTTTAGTCATGCATGAAACGACGTGACGATTGCTTTCAATGTTTTTCCTGTCGTGTTTTAAAAAAAAACAAAAAAAAAACAGTCCAGAGTCAGATGTGGGCCAGCGCTCCCAGTTCTTTGACAAAGACTGAGCTGTTTGGTTAGAGAACTCATTTCACAGCATGATGACATTTAGGCCCCGAACAACGGCAGTATTGTTTTTGTAACTGGCTGAAACAGACAAAAGAAATTTCCATCATTAAGCTGCAAGAAATGTTTTGGTTGGTCGATTATTTTCTGTATCCTTCAGCAGAATGATCATATTTTATATTAATAGCACCTTTTTTAAAATATAGTTTTTATTTTATTCCTGTGTAGTTTTTTCTCCTTGCTGTCCACATTTTACCTGCAGGTGAAATTGTTTCCACACTTTAATGCTGTTTGAAAACTGTAAATTTGTGAGGGGGAGGGGACACAGTGCTGTTTGCTCATTCATTACTGCTCCCAGAAAGTTACTTTATCACTGCTGCAACTGGCTATGGTTAACACAGAGTGCACAGACTACTTAGAGTTATTTTATTATGTTTTTTATTTTTTTATTCTCTTGCTCATTTTTCTTGAAACAACATGAGGACAAGTTCACTTTAGCTTCACATTCTCAACAAAAGAAGAGTGGTGTTGCTTGGGTGCTGCAGTTCGACCTTGATTTGTTCTCGCCCTAATCGTTCACTCTCTGGAGTTTGTTCTGAAGATTGCATCATAGTCTTCACCATCTTCTGATTCTCTGACTCATCTCTGGGGATTTCGTCACTTTGCCAGTCTGTCATTTTCTTTGCTGGCTTTTCCACGTGGACATTGACACAGAGAAGACAACATCACTGCGCTTTTGATGCGGCTTTGCAGAAATCCTTGAATTCTATCGGCGTTGGAGACGTGAGATGACAACCGCTTCTCATTCTTCGCAGAATGCTCCTTGATGTAGCCCGTTTGACGCGGTCTACGGATGTGATCTCCTGTGGATGCAGCGGATCATTTCATACATGTTCAAGTGCATGTGCTCAGCTGTCTTAACCATGTCCGTTTGCAGCAGACGTGTTTCCTTAATTATGTGGAAACAAGTGAAATCTTTAAGATGCAGATGATCCCAAAGGGATCAGTCGTCATCTGTCATGAAGATGACGAAGAGGATGTGAGAGAGGGTAGAGCAGCACAGGCTATTTCTATACATCTGTGTTCGTCTGTGTGTGCGAATATTTGCTTAATGAGTGTGCGTGCGTGCGTTTATGTATGTATGTGCGTGTGGGGGTGTGTGTGCCTGCGTGTGCGTGCTTGGGTTTGTCTCATTTTGTTTGTTTTATTTGTGTAAATGGAGCATACAGTGAGTGTCTCTAACACTCCCTTTTCTGTTGTGCAGTATGAGGAATGCCAGTGGGCTGACTGCTGCTGACCTGGCCCACGCGCAGGGATTCCGGGAGTGCGCTGAAATACTCTCCAATGCCCAGAACTTCCAACAAAACATGGCTCAGTCTCATAACGGGGTTTTTCTGAATGGCATGAGCCAGAATGGGGGCCACACTTACCCCACCATCCAGGGACGCAGCTTCTTGAATGGTATGCCCAACAGAAAAAGGTCTTTCGAAGGCATGGAAGCAAACCCTGGAAAGAAGGCTAGAACTAACGGTAAGTTACTAAGCTGATCAGGTCTGTTCAGATACTTTTTTTTTTTCTCTTCTGTTACCTTTTAAAGGAAATTGAAACTTTCAAGACATTATTACCCCTCAGCCATAAAAGGTTGATGGCATAGTGTCATGCACACCAAAGTTTGTGAATGCAATAACTCGAGAACGAGACAGTATAGGATTTTGAAATTGATGCCATCGAGTTCAAATCTCAGTGACCTCGACCTCAAGGTCAAAGGTCAAGATAATCTGAAAACCAAGTGAAGTAGGATTTTGAAATTGATACCATCAGTGTATCTAGGAGATTAAGGGGGTAGGTCTCTGCAGGTATTTACTTTTTAAAAAATATTTTCTGAAGTCTTTCCTCCAAAGGGTCTTGTTAGACTTAATTCACATTTTATGTGAGTCACAGCAATAGTGTGACACAGTGACTCTTTATTGATTATAATTCATTTTCCTGATATTAATTGATAATGTTGAAACACCAAAGGATGTTGGGTACTCAAACTTTTTTACACTCAGCTGTTTAATTTATTTCTAGCATGCATGAATGACAACAAAAAATAATTCAGTTTTGGTGAATTGGAGATCAGCAAATTGTCATCTACAAACTATATTCTTCCTTTCATCACATGACCAAGTGTCTGCATGTATTTTTAGGACAAAATCTGGGTTAATTGTATCTTCTAAGCAAATCTTTCTTTAAATGGATGGAAGAAACATGTCCTGGCTCTCAGCTCACTGATTTTTCCACCCGTCTTGGCTCTCAGGTTTTTGTGTGGAACCCAAATTGCTTAACGGGAATGGGCCACTAGATGGAGCTGGAGATGCGCAGATGGAGAGCATGAACATGGAGCTGGCAGCGACTGTAACCTCAGGTGGGCCAGGAAGCTTTGCATTTGGGATGAATGGGGTTGCACCATCACAAGGGCCGGGGCCCATGGATCAGGGGGGACCAGCCAGGTCGAGCCCCACAGCTAAAGAGCTGGAGGTCATCACTGTGGCGTCAATGCAGACCCCCTGTCGCTGCACCAACTCTTATGCCTACTTGTAAAGGGCTTGTGTGTGAAATGGCACACGCTAATGTTCCCATTTGTATGTTTGTTGTACGTTTCCTTTTTGAGTAATGCACAGATATTGAAATACATTTGTTTTGATTTGGTGGAGAGCTTCCTTTGAAAGATATTTAGCTGTGTGCGTGCGTGCGTGTGTGTGTGTTGTATTTTCTACTTTTCCATGTACCTGATTATACTCTTAAGGAGAAAGGCATTAATATGTGTTTGTTATACAGATATGTAGTCAGTGCATACGTCCGATTATACTGACCGTTCTCGTGTAATGCTTACTTTTTATTAGGTTTTAAATAAAAGGATGATTTTGTTTTGCACAATTATACCACGTTGTTTGCATTAAAAGTGCAAATGTTTATATTGGCTTCATAAAAAAATATTTAGTCATGTCTTATTATAACGCTTATAAGCGTGTGCATTATTGTATAATAAGGAAAACTTCATTTGTCACCTGATGTTGTGAACACCAACCTTCTGCTGCCAACACCAAAAAAATAGTAATGTTCGAGTTTGTTTTTCTCCCAGTTTAATAAATCCGTAAATATTGTTGATTTAAAATAATATTTAATAGGTGACATTTATGTGAAATTGGTACCTAAGCACTTTTTAAAACATACATAAAGAAAGTCTCTGGAAATTTTGCATTTTATATTGAAGAATGACTTTATGCCAAAGCATATCTGAACATGAATGTAGCTTTTAAAATTTACATAATTCACTGTGCAGCTTTCTTGGAGTTTCTAGATGCCCTTTAGTAACATTTACTGGTCCATGAGAGTAGAATTGGTTAACCCCTCTTTTTCACCTTTGTCAATGATTGGTCTGAAATATGATGAATGTTTACTGTGTGTGTGTGTGTGTGTGTGTGTGTGTGTGTTGGCGAACTTTTAAGGTAACTAGCAGCAAGGCTTGCATTTGCGTGTGTTACAGAAGAATACCCAGTGTGGGTTTGTTTTTTGTTTTTTTTTTAATTAATATCAGGCCATATTGCAATCGGTTGTTATGTACAAACAGTCCTGCTGAAAAAAAAGTTTGCATGGTTTTTTACACTTTGCAAAAAGCCTTATTTGTTAAGCTGCGTTAAGTAATCCAAACAGTAACTTAATGTATGCTGTGTTCAAATTTTATAGACGCTGGGGGGGAATTCTTTCTGTATTTTGTAGTACTATTTCATGTTGAACATGGTTTTTGTTTTTGTTTTACGTGGCAGAAGGTTTGAGTGTGTAGTCTTTGAATCTGGGGCATCAAATGTTTTGAGTACTGAGCAGATTTAGCTTTGTACTTGACTGCTTGACATCATTAAATGTGTATAAAGTTTATAAATGTGGCCTTTGTTTTCTTGGTGTATCCTCGTGCTCTTTTTTTTTTTTTTTTTTTTTTCTCTTCTGTTTCACAACAAATGTGTTTTGTTTTTTGTATGAATCGAGATCGCGACATTTTTCAGATGATTGCAAATACAGTGCCTTT